TAAGAAACTTTAACATCTGGACATTAAAAAAAAATACCTGTAATGGCATTTAAAGATTGTTATTATTTGACTTCATGGTAGAATTAATTTTAAACATAACCCCATATAACAGGGGTATTGTGAGTACCACAGAGTTTACTTATAGTTTGTTTTTTTACGTTTTGCTATTAGGGTTCTCATTGCACCATGTTTAATAATTTTGTTCTGCCTGTTACAACAATGAATGCAAAAAACTGACCAAATAAATTGGGCAATATGACTCATTTTTTATGTAAAATATATCCTAGCAGTAATTAATGGGATTAATTGCAGTACTCATGGTAATTATATTTACATTTTTTGTCCAACTTGTATATCATTAGAAACCCTGCAACCAACAAAGTTGTGGACTCACAATCAGTTTGGTTATAAAAAATGTATTTTAAAAGCTAACACAGACCACATACAGACTAAGTATCTTTTGAGCAAGTCAATAATTCGCACATACGTAATCCGTTAAGGATTGGACCATCAAAAACAGGCTTACAGTGTGTAAATTTTTTTTATTTTCCACTGTAACTGCAGAATATATAGATCACCATACTAAGTGTAATATAACTTGTGTTGTAAATAAGTTGAAGTAGGAAACACGGTTGTAAATGTATCTATAAACATTCTACTTTTTATTGGCTATATAGGAAACGATTATTTGTGTTGTCACATGTGCTTCTGTAACAGCAAGATTAATCTCGGGATGTATTCTATGTTCACACACACCTTAAAACTACTAAAATGGATAAGGTGCGACAGAGTGAGAAATAAACTGTGTTCCATTTAAAATAGCTCTTTATTATTTGCTAATATTCTATTATTGTTTGGTTTGAGTGAATATCACTATGACGTCTTGTGTTTCAGGCAAACGAATACATCCAGTCTGTTGCGAGGTGTCTTCAGATGATGCTCAGAATTGATGAATATAGACTAGCCTTTATTGCTGTTGATGGAATTTCTACGTGAGCCTTTGCTGCACATTTTTGTATTGAAATTTTAAGTTATATAATTTAACTAGGTTTATGCATTCAAAGAATTTACCAGAGATTGTATAAAGTTAGTCTTCTTTTCAGTAAAATACATTTTAGTTTGAAACATAGCATAGTTCAATATATCAATTTCAACTAGGCTTATTCATTGTCTATGTAAAAACATTAAGTTTAGGTTTTTATATAAGAAAGAAATTTTTTCATCTATTAAATCTCTCAGTTTTTGTAACAAAAAGTGAAATGTATTCATCAATGATGCTATATAATAACAGTTTAATAGATAAGAATGAATGTCATATGAATATCACAGTCCTAGAAAGATGACCAGTTTCTTGGTATATATATATTTTGTCTTAATGTGAGTGCAGATTGAATATTTAACCATTAGCCAAGATATCATAAGTTTAATTTATCCTATTTTAGTTTGCTCCACAGGCTACTGTAAATATGGTATAGCCTATATGATGACCTAATTTTTCTTACAAGTAATTGTTCCTACACTTTGTTGTTGTCTAATTTATCTTCCAAGCTGTTAACTTAATTTGAACCCAAAATCTAAGTTTTTAATGTATTTATGTTTTTCAAGCTGCTGTTCATCTACTTACTCCAACAAGCTACTGTTATTGTTGTCCCACCAGCTGCTGTTGATCTAATTGTTTTCCCACAAGCTACTGTTGTTGTTGTCCCACAAACTGTTGTTGATCTAATTGTTGTCTCACAAGCTACTGTTGTTGTTGTCCCACAAACTACTGTTATTGTTTTCCACAAACTACTATTGATGTAATTGTTGTTACACAAACTACTGTTGATCTAATTGTTGTTACACAAACTACTGTTGATCTAATTGTTGTCTCACAAACTACTGTTGATCTAATTATTCCCACAAGTTACAGTTATTGTTGTCCCACAAGCTACTGTTATTGTTGTCCCACAAGCTGTTGTTGATCTAATTATTCCCACAAGCTACTGTTATTGTTGTCCCACAAGCTGTTATTGATCTAATTATTCCCACAAATTACTTTTGTTGATGTTTCACAAGCTGTTATTGATTTAATTATTCCCACAAGCTACTGTTATTGTTGTCCCACAAGCTGTTATTGACCTAATTATTCCCACAAATTACTTTTGTTGATGTTCCACAAGTTACTGTTGGTCTAATTTATCTTTTAAGTTACTAGCATTTGATCTGATTTGTTCCATAAGCTACAATTTGTCACTTACCCTACAAAGTATTGATAACCTATTCTTTCTTACAAGTTACTGTTGGTCTAATTTGTCCTAAAGGGTACTTTAGGTGTAAATCAAGCTTTCATTAATCTAATTTATTCTTCAATTTAGTGACAGTTACTTTGCCCTATATATTAAATTACTTGTATAAATGTGCCCTGTAAAGCATTTTTTTGGCCTAACTTACATGTTTGTGGTTTTACAGGCTCGTTACTGTCCTTGCTGGACGTGTGAATTTTCAGATCCAGTATCAACTGGTTTTCTGCATATGGGTAATGACCTTCAATACAAATCTTGCAGAAAAGATGAACAAGTAAGAATGTGTTTTCCTTGTTGTGGAAATGTACAAAAATACATATGAGGTTTATCTTAAATAAAGTTGTTCAAAAACGTACTTTGGAAGGGCTGTAAATTGCTTGTTTTGTATAAAAAAAATTGTGTATTTTAAAACTAATTGATCTCAATTTTTTGCCTGTTTGAGGTAAGAAAAAAAAATATACAAGTGTAAAAATGAGAAGAAATATTCATCAAAATGCATAAATTGTTTTACCAATTTACAAGTTTCGGAAAAAAATGTAAAAACATTTTATGAATTGCTTTCACAAGAACAAAATTTGTTTTTAATTTGATAAGAAAAGTTCATATAAAAATATACAATATACGTTTAAAATTCCTTAGAGACCTAATTTTCTATTTAAGTGCCAGTGATTTGAATATTTTAAATAGGTAATTTTTAAAATGTGATTAACGATAACAAAGTTAAAGTGAAAAGAGTTTATTTTTAGACTAAATTTGCATATACTGTTTTTTTATTTGACATTTTTACAGTCCAAATTTTAAGTATCATGAAAAAAAATTAATTTATTGAAATGATTTTAAATTTATTATGTACAACTTTGTTTATTTTCTATCATTTCAGATTCAACATAATTCCAATCTTAGCAGATATACTTAGTGAATCGGTTAAGGAAAAGGTTACTCGTATTATTTTGGCTACCCTTCGAGTGAGAATTTTGTTCATCAAAATATTTTTAGGACTTGCCTTATTTACTTTTATGGAATAGCTATATGCCTTCGTAACATACTTTGGTAAATAGTGTGTAAATTGATGTAAGTGAAAGATTGTAAGTTTGCTAGAATGTAGTGTAGGCGTGTTAAAATGTGTGTAAGTTTCATAATATAAAGCTACACTTAGTTTCATAATAATATACTAAGTGAATTAAACAGTTTTATTGTCTTTTTACCAAAATATTAACTTGCAATTGGTTTTGAATTAAAGTTTTTCAGTGGAAAGGCAGGACACAAAACATGCAATCATATTTATCTCTAGCTAGAGTACCTGTCCCTTGGACAGAAGTTATGTAAATTCATGATTAACGGACATGAAAAGTTGTTTCCCTTATATGTAATTGTAAAAAATGCAAAAACTGCAAAACACAAAATGTGAATCCACACATTTGCATGTATCTCCTTCTGGACCCAACAAACCTTCTTGACAAATTTGGTGAAGATCCATCCACACCGTGCGAAGTAGTTGCATGGACATACAACACACAACACTATTATATTTATATAGATTCTATGTAAAATATTTAAAATTGTAAAATCTTTCAATTCGTCTTTGAAACTTCTCACTTTAACTGTTAAATTGGGTTATGATATTATTTTATTATGTTGTATCATGCTATTTAAAAGTAGTTTCTAATTCATCTATACACACATTATGCTCTAGCAATGACCTTTGCAACAACATATTGATTGCAGAAACTGTTTCTTTCATCTTGTAAATGGAAGCTTCTCCTTTATAAAGAATCGTTTTCTTCTCTTCCCCTTGCAAGAACCATAAATGAACTGTGATATATTATGACATACACTGAGATCCTGATTAAGTGTACGTGATTGGTTGTTGGTTTCCATGTTTGCATATTCTTCTGTGTGTGTTTATAGCCATGTGGTTTATTTATTATACTTAGAATTACACATGGGACATTTATGTTTAAACTCTATGTTAGATATTTTATCTTTGAACTTGAAAAGCCCTGTGTTATACATTTAGGTTTAAGTAAAACTTAAATCTGTGTTAGGATAAGCTGTATGCAAAAGCTTATGTAATTGATTTTGTACTTATAATGTATGTTTACCAGTATATGGCAGTATTATTGACAGGGGTTTGTGTAGAATGGTTCTGTTTCATTTATTTGTAATTGTTGACTTATACTCAAATAATGAAATTTTCAACAATGTTATATAGGAAGCCATTTTTGTTCAAAAATACATGAATGTTTTCAAACTCCAAGTAAAGATATTTTTACAAGATGGTGATTTTACAAGTACATTAAATCTATATATTAACCAAACGTGCTTTAAAATATCAAGTGAAAATGTCAAAATATAAATTAGTTAATGTATTTTTTCTGACATATTTCACACTCGAATATGCCGTTATTATTATTAAACTAGCAGAAATGCTGCTCTATGGGTGGCTGTTTGTGCTAGTAATTACTAAGCATAGTACTCCTATATCATTGAAAAAAAATTTTAGTAAAAGTGAACATTTTCTAAAAAAATATTTTTTACTGGGAAGTACTGGATGGGAAAAGTTTTTGGATTGTGATCTTTAGTCATACACAACTCATTGCATCAAAATGATTCAACGTACAGAATTCAGTATTTTCTGATATAAACTGTAATGTTTTTATATATTAAAGGTGGTACTGTTTTTGTAAGAACTCGGTACTACATTTAAAAATTACATCAATAAAGATGTATTCAAACCCTCATGTACAGTCCTAGTGAAAGTCGTGTTCTTGTTGTGAGGAGAGTAATTGTATCTAAAATTGTGTTCTATTATAAAGAAATGGTTGTTGCACATACCACAAGTATTTTTCTAATTGTCTGAATCTTGAATATCCAAAGTGTGAAATATTTTACAGATTTGTTTTTTGTGTTGTCATTCAGTAGATGGCACAGGAATTTTGGTCACATACATAGGTACTGCCATACATGCTTTGTCCATTATAATAAGAAGATTAGTG